GTGGGTTTGATTTGTATAAAACATTGAACCGCATTAACTCAACAGTTTTACGTTAATAAGGTACCAAATGGTTTACTCTGACTCACAATACGCTTACAAAATTTGAACATTTTAATAAAACAATCCACACATGTTGCATCACAAAGTTATCATAGATAGTCAAGCAAACTATTTAGAAAGAGAAAGATATTTGATTAATGAACTGAAATTCCAAACCAGATAACACAGCTTAAATCAAACAAATCCATCACAGTTTCAAGCAAATAACACCTCCACTACAAGTTAAGATAGAGAAAGCCATAAAATATACTCTAGAGCGATAATAGACCTGCGCTATTGATAGAACTAAGCCTATGAAACCAATCATAAATTTGTATTGTCAGAAAAATAAACTTTTTGTCCATTGACCCTATGAGCACTGGCGATTATTCAATATGCTTAGACTTATAATTTTCCCTTATTTTATAAACATGAAGTCTAAATTTTTAATCAAGTTTTTGGATATGCACACAGAGAAAGAATAAATAGAAATTGAGATCTAAGTTACATTCAATTCAGCAATTAAATAATTCATGTATAAAGATTTTAGAGTTTATTATGTCTACGACACACAAGACTGAGTACAAGGCGAAAGTGAGTGACCGATGAGTGTCAAATGAGAATAAGATGACCTTTGGTTACTCGGTAAGATGATCAGCTGTTTCCTTAGACACAGAATCATTTACCTAACACCCATAGATCAAAGATGGTTAGGTTTTAATCCATTAAAATAGGTTTCCATGATAAATAAAATGATAAATAAAAGTGAAGGCTAAATTAAATAAAAATAAATCCTAATTGACATAGCCTACCTTATTTATGAAATAGGTTGTAAGGCGATAGCAAATAAAACAACAGAGGTGTCATATCGAACTAGGCCTACACTACGGGGACCTAACTACAGTAAGTAGCTGACACACGATAAACTACATGATTCTCAAGCTTCATATTGAAAGGGTTAACTTAAGTTAGTACAGGGGAGCGAAATGTTCGGGGGTAGTTCAATCAGTGTGAGCGGAATGATGTTAAATTGGTTCCCAGGAAGAGGGACGAGAGGTAAGTTACAGGGTTGGCCTAATCTTGAAACCGCCGGCCAGCGACAATAAACATTAACGCTTTGGAGGAAAACCCTGTGCAAATATTTACAACGTCGGACTCACCCTAAACGCACTTCCTGAAGTGTGAAATTGTGTAAAAAGTGAATAAATTGAAGTTCTGGAGGCTAATAAATAGCGGAAAATCTATAAGCTACCAGTACCAGTTTCTCTAGAACCCAATAAGTTATAAGTTAGCCCACTATTTTCGTTTTTCACACAATAACACACACCAGGAATAAGATATTGTGTTTAGTACTAAAATCCTGAACCAACAATAAAAAAAGAGTGCATATCTGCCCGCCACACAGTTTAGTGCTATCGAAATAAGAGCTAAAACAGGCACGCAAGGATCATTATGAGCACGTCTTCTTTGATAGCAAGTTGCGACACAGTGAATAACACAAATCATAACATTCCCGCTGTCTAACTCCACATTAATCACCCTGCTACTAACACCATGAGACACCATATAAGCGACACCATATAACTACAGGGACACAATGTTTGGACCTAATTTACGCACACAAAATATAACTACGCACTCATTGCACCGTACTTGCATAAAGTCAGCCATTTTTGGACCAAACTACTAAGCTAACCAAGAAAAGCTTCTAAACAAAGGACTTACAAACTAAAAACCCCAAGAATCACCTAGGTGATTAGCCTCCATAGAATATCCCACTGTTTATCCCCGAACCTCCCGATTATAACACTGAAGTATTGCGCCAAAATTTTAACCATGAGTCTCTTTTATTCCGTACCTACAACATTTAACTTAGCGGAACAAACACACTTTAATTAAAAATTAAAACTATTCATAACGCAACTTTACCAAACCTGATGTAATAGTTGTAATAGGCCTAACTGTAATAAGTTTTATGAGTTGAAACTATTCTAAACTAACCAAACCTAACCAAATTTACTGTAGCTATTCAAAAATCAGTTCTACATTGGAAAAGGCATAGGGTACATGGTGAAGGGGGTCGGGGGTTATGCGGGTTCGTGACTGCATTAAGTCCTTTGGAGGTAGGTTAACTTAGATTAGGGAAGTTAACAGATTTTTAAACATTATTAATAACATGCACAGAAGATTTTGGAGTCTGGCGAAAAAGTAAGTTTTTATAAAACTTAAACTTAAATGAGTAGGTAGACATTTTCCCCCATTAGGATCGTATAGTTATCCGGGCTGTTTATTTATGTAACATCTACATCGTTTTATCATTAGAAACTGTGGCTTAAACAACGAGGTGACAATTTAAAAAATGCTTGCAATGTTCCAATAGTGGTAAAACGTGGATGTAGGAGGTAACATAAATATACGACCCGGTAAACTAACCTAAACTTTAGTTACCTCCTAATCTAACCTATAAATTCAAAACAGTTAAACGCAACCACAAACCCGCATAACCCCCGACTTCCCTTCCCCACACATGCCTAAATAAAGTCATTAGGATGAAAGTTAACGATAATCAACAACACTCTTGCTCCACTTATCAGCCATCAACAGTGGGGTGACCAATAGCGAAGTGAAAACACAAGTGAAACAGCAGTGCCAAAATGACAAAAGTTTAGGTTGGTACACACCATATTTCCCTGAATTAGGGATTAATTTAGCTGTCCTGATTATTGGGAGGATATCCCATTTTCCCTGCGGAAATTACTCCGCTTTCCCGTCAAATTACCCATTATGTCATGATGATAAACGACGTTTTGTTATCCCCCGCCCAAAACCCTGAATTCCCACCGGTCCGCTAGTGAGTTGGACTAGTTGGAGTTATTGCTGATATAACTTAGGCTAAAAAGGTCTAATTAGTCATAAAAGGAAGCCTCGTTGACAAAAAATTTAACAAAGTTGTAGCGTTGATGTCAAGGAACAGTTATAGAACGTTTAGGCCTATTAGAAAGTTTTAGGTAAATCGGGATTCCTGAAATAAAGACCAAACTCTGTTAGTGACGGCTAGGGCCTTTCGAGGGTTAACCCTCCAAGCATCTATAGTAATGGTATTATTGTCCGCCCATTTATTGCGCAATTGCAGGATTTTATTAAAATGTATCTTAGAAACTTAAAAACAATGTAAAGTATACCTACTGTTTTATATATCATTTTGTTTGGGAAATTACTTATGGGCTTCAATTAATATAAAACATTACAAAAAAATGTTCAACAATTTTTGTGGGGTTAACATTTCTCAAAAATTATAAAATAAACTGAAAAAAATTATGTTTGCGCTCAATAAATTTTTATAATTAATAAGTCTACAAATATTTTAAAACCGCCGCTTTGCTCTAAATTTTATAAGGATTACAAAAATATAATAACATAAGGAAGTAAATTTGCAAATACATACGTTATGGGTGAAAAACAGATTTTGTACATTTAGCGTTAGCGAAGAATGCATAGCCTAACCACAGCTAGGAATCTGGCCGATAATTTACATCAATATCACTACGGTACCTACTTCTTCATGATCATCAACCAGCCCTTCAAAATCACTTAAATCTTCTTATAATGCACCACGTATTACTTTTTATTTTTAAAACTAAAACAACGATAAACGTAATAAAACACATATCAGTCATCGGTGTGAGGTTAACCAAGTTGTTAACAAATACCTACACACGTCAGCTGTCTGCTACAATATTTTCAGAACTAAAATTAAAAGCGTCTAGAAACAGACATCAGGAGAAAGCTTAGAATCTGCCAAAAACAACGATACCAATCTCGACCCAGTTCAATCTGACTCAGTCAGTCCCAGAGCCTTCGCCGTAAACGATGTTTGTGTGTCGCAAATTTTAAGCGACACATAACACCACCGGCGGGTGTGTTGAGCGTCGATTACGCGACGCTTAACAGTCGTTAACCCTCCGTCGGTCGCACCTATGTTTGAACGCGACCACTCGCACAATATCTCTCAGATACATTTTTCCTTTAAAATATTTTTTAGTACTTTAAACTTAGCCTATATTTTCTTCCTAATTTACAGGACCAGTCGCACTGTATCTTATCAGATACAACAGAGCAAAAAAAGGCATGTGTTCACAGGATGACGCTAACAGTGATACTTAGTGGTGGGGGGTCATATAACATTACGATTATTTTTGATCGATGTTAAGATTATTATATAATTTATCAGTTTCTTATGGGCCTAAGTAAGCTAGGCCTAGATCAAACTTAGCATAATCATTCCTTGTTTAAAATATATAGGCCTAAGTTAATACCTAAGTTAAATGTTATAAAAGTAAACAACCGAGTAGGGTATGCCTAGTCTGTAGGCCTATTAGACTAGGATGTTGGTCAGATTGGTGTTAAAACAGATGTTAGCCTATTTTAAAAATCAAGTTAGGCCTATGATTTCATAAACAGTCTCAGTGAAATAGTACCTAGCCTAGGCAATGTAGGCTAACTCACCCTTTCAAACAACGAAAGGATGAGATTATATTTGCATGAGTCCAGTCAGTCACAAAACAACTAAGTCAAAGTAAGATATGTTGCAACCTGTCATTGATGGGCCAGACAACCAAAGTGCTCACTCCCTGCTTAGGCTAGTAACGCTCTTGAAATTAAGCACATTAAATTGAAATAGAAATCAAACAATATAAGTTATGGATTAAGGTTCAATAAATGTATATGCAATGGTCAGTAGTGTGTTTCTAAAACGTATATAGGTAATGCATGTGAATTGTTTATCGTTTATGTTAAATACAAACTGTCAAACGCAAAATATGCGTCTACGTAAAACTACGGTCATCTGGCCGTTGACATTTTAAGAAAGTAGGTACGCAGTAACCGACAGACGTCTCAAAAGTATGCGTTTTACAGATCACTAAACGATTGCTATGCACTTAATGTATAATCAAACTTACCGGCGTGAAACGCTGGAAAATGAAAACGTAGCGGCAACAGCTAGTGACGTATTATAACAACAAAATTTCAAGCCGACTAACCACGTGCAATTTACGCAAAACGGACCACCTCTAGCCAAAATGGCGATTATCTTCCTTCACTAGCACAAATCAAATCAGGTGTACCACTTTTCATAGTGGTAAAAAAAATATATTTTTTTGATAGAGACAGGGAAAGGTAAACTACTACAAATAGATCATAGATTAAGTTTATACTTAACCATTGACAGCAAGTTTTGAAATTATGTACTTAAAGCGTTTACTTGTTGACTTTGGATATTACATTTAGACTTCTCACTTCTCAGCCTTATTTGGATTCTGATGTTCTTTATCGTAGGCCAACTAATGTCGATATAACAAATGTTTCTCTTCTAAATTACCGGTATTTAAAAAAAAAACACATTTCTTTCCATTCATTCTACAGATAACTTTTTAAACTATAGTTACGTAATAATAGCCGTAATAGTTTTTAAATCACATTTCCATCTTTGTATGTTTTGGCAAGTTTGTTAATGCAAAAGAAAACATTTCTCACTTTGAAAAGATATCTGATGTGCACAACTATTGTACTATAATACTATATATTGTACTATATATTGTATTATTTGAAATAAACAGACTATTTTCTGAGTCCCAATTTGGTTTTAGACCCGGACATTCTACGATTTCTGCAGTAATGAAAATTGTCAGTAAAGCACTACATGCCTTTGAAAATAAAGAATCAGCCTTCCTATCCCTATTAGATTTAACTAAGGCATTTGATTGTGTACCGCCTATCAATATCCTTACTAAACTTAACTTTTATGGTGTTTCTGGCGACTCCTTGAAATTAATTGAATCATACTTAATGAACCGTAAGCAATATGTAAATATTATGGGTGCTCACTCATCATTGTGTGATGTCTCCTTGGGAGTGCCGCAGGGCTCAGTTCTCGGACCATTTCTCTTTATTGTAATAATAAATGATCTTCACAAAAATGTAGGTGTAAATTCTATTATCTATGCAGATGATTCCACGTTTTTTACTTGTAATAAAAACCTTGACCTCTTGGAGGCCAGAATAACCTCAGCTCAAAACCAAGCACAAGAATGGTTCTCAGCTAATAAACTGCTGTGTAATGAGACTAAAACTCAGAATATTTTGCTCAGTCTTTCACAAAATCAAAACTATTAATCAAAATCAATCATCGATCTAAATCAATCTGTAAAACTGCTGGGAATTCACATAGACTCAAAGCTCACATGGAATGACCATGTTGTAAATTTGTGTAAAAAACTTTTAAGGGTCAATTGTTTGTTTTGGAAACTGAGCTCCATAATCTCTACTGACTATCTGAGGACTGCCTATTTCGGACTCTTTCAGTCTCATATTGCTTATGGTCTCATACTTTGGGGACACTCTGCAAATGTCTCAGATGCCCTGATTCTTCAAAAAAATTAATTAGAACCATTTGTCAAGCCAGGCCTGGAGATCATAGTAGATGTCTTTTCAAACAATTGAAGATTCCTACAATTATTAACTTGTATATTTATCATGTATTAATATTCACAAAAACAAATCTAAATTCTTTTTTTATTAGACGTGAGGTACACAATCACAATACCAGGAATAAAAACAAACTTGAAATCCCGCAACATAGGTTAACAAAGTTTGGAAATTCTTACATGGTAAATTGTGTTAAATTTTTTAATAAGCTTCCCGATAATGCTCACACCACTCCTCTGAAAGGCTTCAAAACCAAGATGTATCAATGGCTTCTAGACAATCCATTCTTTACTATTAATGAGTTTATGGCCACCAACACCCAACATAGATAATATATTTTAAGTTTTCAAATTAATGATAAGCATTAACTTTTGTTTGTTTGGATGAGGTTTACCAATTTTATTAATTTAATGTCTATGAAGCTGTTGTTTGGGTACTAGGCTGGAGTTGCAACTTTAGTTTTAATTTAAATATATTTAGATATTATTGATGATTATTATCGATATTATTGATATTATTTAATGTTATTGACTGTATATATTTATGTTGACCATGCCCATCTCATGTAAAAATGATCAACGGCAATAAATATCTTATGTCTTATGTCTTATAGATAAAAAGATAATCTGTCAACACTAAGGCATAAGTATACAGCCACTCAAAATAGTTTTTAGTACCAAGGTGTTAAAATGTACAATATCTTGCCTGCATCCATCAATATAGTCTTGGGCGACCATTTGTAAACGTTATAGGAAGTATGTATTATCTATGGCTAGTTCATTTCCAGCCTCTTGCCTTCGGGCAAATTTATTAGTACGAACTGCCGTCAATAGACACAATTAAGTAATATTTTTTTTGAATTGTTTTACACGATACTTCAGGCTAGGCCTAGAGGCCCCCCATTATAATGGAGGTGCAGCATTATAATTTGATATCTATATTGGCAGTGGCGAATCCGGTAGGGGTTTGAACCCCCCTCTTTGACCACGATTTTTGTACAGTTATAATTTTTTCCACATTAAAAATATATATATTAATGTCTCTAAATAGCCTAAAAATGTGAGTTGACAGGTCTAACTTCCAACAATTAGACCAGACCCCCCATCCCTCAGGGGTATTCCATACAACCCCCCCCCCCCCCAAGAGTCATCCTATAGTTACACCTATGTCTATTGGTGAATTTGGTTATTTGAACAGGGGACCTTGAGAACCAAGTCCCGCGCTCTGCTAGACCAGCTTTAAATTTATCAATTATCAATCATTGAGATGGGTACGCCACCTAGGTGCGTATTTTAACCCAAATATGAGTGAAGGTTGAGTGTAGAATGGTGTGTGATGACCTGTGTGTAGCTTTGTTACTGACTAAGATCAGCGGTTTCATTAGTCAGGATCATTTATTTAAAGCCCAATGATCAGGAACAGCTGGGTCCAGTTTCGAACCATCAAAAAGCTACTGACTTTTCTCAGGATCGATCCGGCGACCTTTTAATTACTAGGCGAGCACTATGACCACTCAGCGACCCACCCAGCTTGCTCCCGTAACATGGAAATACAAATATTATGAACACCAACGAATGCGCGACCAGCAATAATAAGCACAATGATTCATACGACATCCAGATAAACTAGATCTGAAAACTATGTGTATTCAACATTTTGTATCCTGCAGAGCTCAATTCTCAAACAGTTTGTAGTCCTGTTTGAAATCGGTATCCTATGTGGGAGCTTAAGACGATAGATATAGTACAGGCAGGACCGTACTCAGATCAGTTTTTCTGGACAATATTTACCGGGGCCCAGGCTCCTCCCCTGAACATACTTCAAGCGGAGGAGCCCAGCCTAATATTTTACCAGGGCCTGCCAAAGCTGGGTATAGTTCTGTATATAGGTATACTCAAGAGGAACCCCAACAGGGCAACAGGAGCTAAATATAGGTACATGTAAAAGTAAACCCAACATGTTGAGACGAGCTAATACGTTTCTGCTTTGTAAAATACATGAGTGTCATATTGTTGAACATAACACTCTACCTGCATGCAACTATAAATACACTATGAGGTCTGTCATGTTCTCTTCCCTTTGTTCTAATGCCAAATCTCCTAGCTCAACTTTATTGAAAGTGCCCCTCAAACACATTTCTCAAACTTAAAATGAGTTAGAATTTTCATAAGATGCCAGTATTATGAGCATGCCAAATCTCTCTTGCTACTGAGCATCACAATAATTTACAGTATACATTCACAATAAATTTAGCTGGACAAGTTTAGTTTATGGTAAAGACAAAAAATTGCAGGGAAACAAGGGCTCTTAGTCATAGCCGTAAAACAAGGTGCAACGCTCAAAGCTTTAGTTAAAATGTAAAAATTCTTTACTCTGTAACAAATAACTTCAATTTCGAATCCCATTCGTGTAGGAAAGAAGTTGAAATCCAAAGACTATAAGATGATCACCGGAATGTTTATAAGATAAAAACCTCTCATTACTCAGGACTTAGTGAACATTTTGTGGATGGGTCCCTATAGAAGAGGATTAGGCCTACAATATTGAAAAAAAACCTTAAACAAGACGCAACCAACTAATGGTAAATCGCAGTTCCACTGCACCTGGTTTTTATGAACAATACCAACTTACTACTTATTTTTCTTATAAGTTGTACTAAAGCTGGATTTACCTAGGAGTGTGGATTAGTGGATTGCGGAGATGCGATTATCCGCTCATCAATTGGTGGTCCTCTCCGTTTCTAGAAAAACAGTCCGATCGAATTATCGAAGACAAAAGGATTGCGGACTCCGCTATCCACGTTCGTGACTAGGAAAACCCCGCTTTACAGTGATTAGGCCCATTTGGACAAGAAAATCAAGTTACAAACATAAAAAAATAAATAAGTTATACCTACCAGTAAGTTGTAGAGTAGAATCTGGATACTTTGACACTAGATAGTTAAACACGTGCTGTAATGACCATGTCGGCAGCGGCCAATGTCGGTTTTGCCAAGATCAAAAATTAAAGCCTTCTAACCTTCTCAATACTTGGAACTATTCCATTAATTTAAATTTTTTCTAACATCCAAAGTAAATAGGAAACTCAATGGATCAACCATTTTTTTTTTTTTTTAATAAAAGAGGTTGGCGGCCTCTTTTAACCTTGCATTTGCCCGTCCACATAGACTACAGATCTGTGCGTGGAACGTATCCAGCAAAGCAAGGGGTGAGCCGGTACAGTACAAAGGTGAACTGTACTGATAAAAGTAGCGCTGCTATCAACCGGTTCAATCCGCTTTAGTCGCGAACACTGGAGGGAGTAGGGAAGGGGTAGAAGGAGGTCAGTCGTTGCCTGGAGTCCCCGGAGTGTTCACATTGACGAGGAACGGGAATGAAATTGATAAGTTATAGTATTAAGCTAAATCATTAGTTATTTAAAAATCATGTTCTAATTCTTTTCAGTACGGGGGGGGGGGGGACTAAGGGGTTAGGGATTCTATCGTCAATTAAATATTCCATTATGTAAACTGAGTTAATAGTACCTTTCGAGCCCATAAGGCGCGAAAGGAGTTTTTTAGCTTATTCTTATTTATTAGTTTAATTGGTAGAATGCAGTACAAAGTTATGCT